GGCAGTGCTGATGTTTGGGTGCTGTTGGTGGGGTGTTGATGGTGGGTGCCCCACGGGTGCAGCTGGCGGTGGAGCAGGCACTGAGCAGCGAGCCTCTGGACCCGCACCGCCTGGCCCTGCTGGCCGGCTCCCACGGTGCCTTCATCGCCCTCCACCTCCTCTCCCGCGAACCTGAGCGCTACCAAGCCTGTGCCCTGCGCAGCCCCGTCTCCAACCTGCCCGCGCTGCTGGGCACCTCCGATATCCCCGACTGGTGAGTGCCGTTTCCCCCATCCCATACTGTGCCACGCTACATCCCCACGGCACCCACTAGCACCTCCGTGCCGCAGGCGCTACACCTCCTTGGGGCTGCCCTACTCCTTTGAGCGGGTGCCCCGCGCCGAGGATCTGGCCACCATGCTGCAGCGCTCGCCCATCGCCCAGGCAGCCCGGGTAAGGCAGGGGCAGACCGGGTGCGGGGTGCCGGGCGCAGGGTGCTGGGCACCCACCGCCGGCTGTGCCACAGGTGCGGACGCCGGTGCTGCTGTGCGTGGGTGCCCGGGACCGGCGTGTCAGCCCCACGCAAGCGCTGGAGCTGTACCGGGTGCTGCGGGCCAGGGGGGTACCGGTGCGGTGAGTGGGGTGCAGGGGGGTGGGAGCAGGGAGGGAACCCCAGGGTGCCGGCCGAGCATCCCCCCCCGTCCTGTTCCGCCCCGCAGGCTGCTGTGGTACCCGGAGGGCGGCCACGCGCTGGCCGGCGTGGAGACGGAGGCCGACGTCTTCGGGAATTGCGCCCGCTGGCTCCTCCGACACCTGGGGCAGCCCCAGAGGGACGGGACAGGCCGGCACAGCCCCTAGTGCCCACGGTGGCCCGGTGGCTGTGCTGGCCCTGGGGTGACCGCTGGCCCTGGGGACCACACCAGGAGCAGAGGCGGATGGAGCAGACGTAGCTGGAGCAGGACAGGAGTTGGTTTGGCTCTAAATAAACACGCGAGACCCTGTGCAGTGCCAACCTCCGCAGCCACGGCCGGGCCTTTATTTGCACGGTGGTGGCTGTGCCAGGCTGGGGCTGAGCCGGCTCAGCCCATCTTCATCACCTTGTGGATCCAGTCGACGTAGAGGGAGACGCGGATGAAGAGGGCAGGCTGGTCAGTGCGGGCGCAGACGCGGGAGGGGGTGATCACCCCCTCCAGCACCCAGCAGTCGGCGGTGAGGCAGGCCAGCGGCCCCCCGTAATCTCCCTGCGGCATCCGGAGAGCGGCGTCACCCCCGGTGCTGGCACCCGTGGGCTCTCTGAGGCGGCGGTCCCGGGCCCGGCTCACCTCGCAGGCCCCCACGCCGGCACGCAGCGGGGCGGTGCACAGCTCGCTCTCCTTCAGGCGCCCGCGCAGCGCCGCGTTGCACTCGCCGTGGGCCAGCACGGGCAGCCGCGCCACGTTCAGCACGCTGCCGTCCGCCGTGCCTGCGGGCAGCGAGCTCGCGGGGCAGCGGGCAGGGGGATGCCGTGGCAGGGAGATGCTATGGACGGGTGGATGCTATGGACGCGTGGATGCTATGGACGGGTGGATGCTATGGGGGGGGGGGTGCAGGAGGAGTGCCCTCACGGGGAGTACTGCAGGCAGGGGATATGATGGGCAGGGGATGTCGCAGGCAGGGGAATGCTGTTGGTGGGGACTGGCACGGACGGGGGATGTCACAGGCAGGGGGATGCTGTGGAAGGGGGATATCGTGGGCAGGGAAATGCTGTTGCTGGGGAATGGCGTGGGCAGGAAAATGGCCTGGAAGGGGGATGCCAGGGACACGGGGATGCTGCGGGCAGGGGGATGCCACGGGAAGGGGATGCCATCGCAGGGGACGCCCTGGCAGGGGCTGCCTGCGGCAGGTACCTCTGGTTTCCCCCCAGCCGGCAATCTCGCAGACGGTGCCGGCGGGCACGACGTAGCGCTCAGGCGGCAGGCAGATCAGGGCCACACGCCTGTTCAGAGTGGCCGGCCTGCGACGAGAGGGGCAGCGGGACGCGGTGCCAGCCCAGCCAGCAGTGGGGCACGGTGGGGGCCGGGGCACGGCCACTCACCTCGCCAGCTTCAGCATCACCAGCTGGGACTCGGAGGGGCCGCAGACGATCCGCGTGATGGGGATGGTCTGCTGGTCGGGGTCCCCGGGGCCAGGGTCCTTGAAGAGCGTTCCCAGCTGCACCTCGTAGCCCGTCAGGTCAGCGTCACTGCGGGACGGTGATGTGAGGGTGCGGGGGGCTCCCGGCACCCCACACCCCGGCCCCGGCCTTACCAGGAGGAGAAGCACTGGCGTGTGCTGATCACCCACTGCTCCTTCACCAGAGACCCCCCACAGAAGTGCATGCCAGCCCTGCAGGGATGGGAGGGTCAGCTCCCAGGGCGGGGGGACGCTGGCTACGCGGTGGTGCCGGCGGGGAGCCCGCTCACCGGTTGCGGATGCTGACGGTCCAGGGTGAGTTGCCGGGCTGGCCACCGACAATGCGCCCTTTCCACTGCAGCCTCTCGTCCCGCCGGCCGCACTGCTCAAACACCACCGCGTCTGCGGGCAGGGCAGGCGTCAGCAGGTGCCGTGCCGCTGGCACCCACCCCGTGGCACCCACCTGGCACCTATGGGCCCCCACCTGTGCTCTCCAGGATAGAGGACACTGTGCTGCCAGCTGCAGAGAGAAAGCAGAGGGTGGCACTGGGGCAGGATCCAGGCACCCTGGGGAGACCAAAACCACCCCAGGGGGTGGCCGGGACCCCCCCCTAGCTCTGCAGGGGCGCAGGTAGGGGCTTACAGCAGGGCTTGACGGCGCAGTAGTCGAAAGGGGTGCGGGGGTCCATGGTGTAGCACCAGGGGCCGTGGCTGTCGTTATCGGGGTTGCGGCAGTAGTTCTCCTCCAGGTGTGCCCCAGGGTGGGTGATGGGCGAGATCCTGCCGGGAGGAAGTCACCATCCCCATCCCCATCCCAGTCCCCACACGCTGCTGCCTGGCACGCTCCCTTGCACACTCACTGGGGCACGTGGGGCGCCTGGGCAGCCCACGGTTGGCAGGTGATGCCCTTGCGTGTCTTGCTGACGTGGCCGTGGTAGCGCTCGCCGTGGCCGTGGTAGCACTCTGGGGACAGGCAGGGAGGGCTGGCACCCCCGGCAGGCACCCTGGGGGCAGGTGCCTGGCGGGGCGCAGCTCACCTTGGGCACCCAGCTCGTCGGGACAGCGGCGGATGTGGAAGCAGAAGGCGACGCGGATGGTGGGGCGGGCGGTAAAGCACCACGGTGCCTCCGAGCCGTCGGGGTTGCGGCAGTAGTTCTCCTGCAGGTCCCTGGTGGAGAGGCTGTGTGGGTGCCCCCCGCCCCCCCAGCCCACGTCCATGGGTGCTGCCCACCGCCGCCCTCCCCGGGCACATCCCCTCCCCACCCTTACTTGCACGGGTACTTCTCGGGCACAAAGTGGTGTCGGTGGGGGGTCTGGGCATCCCAGCGCTGGCAGGGGATCCCCGACACGGTGATGTTCACCTGGCCCCGGTAGCCTTCACCCTTGCCCCTGAAGCAGCCGGTGGTGATATTGAGGGGCCGTGGGCGTTTCTCTGCTTGCATGGCCGGAGAGGGGCAGAGCGGCAGGGTTAGGGTGGCACCCGGGACCCCCAGTCCCAGCTGCGCGGTGACACCGGCGGGGACTTACTGCAGAGGCGGATGCGGCAGTACTCGCGCTCCCGCGCTGGGTCGGTGGTGTAGCACCAGGGCCGCTCGGAGCTGTCGGGGTTGCGGCAGTAGTTGTCGTCCAGCCCCTTGTCGGGATACCTGGGCCGGAGAAGGGGAGCGGTGGTTGAGGGTGGCACCACCGCCCCGGCACCTGGCACGGTCAGGGTGGCTGCGTGCTGCCTGGGGCTGGGGGCTGGTACTTGTTGGGGTGGTAGGGGTGCTTGTGTGGGTGCTGCAGGTCCCAGCGCTGGCACTCCGTCCCCGACTCGGTGTGGTCCACGGCGCCGCGGTACTCCTCCCCGTTGCAGGTCATGCAGACGGCTGCCGACAGCCAGGGAGGCTCAGTGGGGGGACGACACGTGGCACAGGGTGCCCCTGGGCTGCGGCACTCACCATCCTCGCACTTCTTGATGCCGCAGCTCTGGTGCCGTATGTTGGGGTCGACGGTGTAACACCACGGGCCCCGCTTGTCCCGGTCGGGGTTTCGGCAGTAATTCTCCTCCAGCCCGTTGCGGGGGGATGGCAGGAACCTGCTGGCAGCAGGGTGGGTAGGAAGGCTGCCAGGACCCCCTCACCCCGAGGCGGGCACAGCCACAGTGCTGTGCCACCCCGGTCGGTGCTATTGCCCCCATGCTGTCCCTATTGCCCCCAAGCTGTCCCCATTGCCCCCAAGCTGTCCCCAGCCCATTCCTCGTTGCCCCGTGCTGCCCAGGGCCACTGGCAGGCGCCACGGGGCAGCCGGGGACACGGGGGCACCTGTGGTCATGGGGTGTTGTGGCTTGCCAGTGCTGGCAGCGCAGACCCTTCTCTGTGGTGGCCCGTGTGCCGCGGTAGCTGGAGCCATCAGCCACAATGCAGTCCCGCAGGTAGTCTGGGCAGAGCCGGGCACCACGTCAGAGCCCCGGCGGGCCGAGCCAGGGCACGTGGGCCGTGGGGAGCCCTGAGCTGCGTGGCCTATGCCCGGTCTGTGGTGTCCCCGTGCCCACCCGTGGCACCAGCCCACCTTTCTTCTGGTACAGGTCATAGTGGATGTTTTTCTGCAGCTGAACGTGGGGCGAGTGCTGGGTCCAGGGCAGCAGCTGGCACAGCTGGCTCTGCCGGTCGTGGTGGAAAGCCCTGGGAGGCACAGCGGGAGCCTGGCATGGCACCGTGGCGGGGCCAGGACCCGGGGGGCACACACAGACATGGGCGCCCAGCACCCAAGTGTACGGAGTGACGCCGGTGTCATGGCCCCCTGCACTCCCACCAGTCCCGCTCACCGGCAAACCAGGCTGGCGGCACAGCGCTGGGCACACTGCTCGGCAGAGCCCCGCTCCGGCAGCGGCGGCGGTGGGTCCGCGGGCACTGCCAGCAGCTCGGTGGCTCGCAGGCGCTGGAAGTCATTGAGGGGCGAACGGTGGCCTGAGGAGTGTGGCAGGAACTCAGCGTGCCCGTGAGGGCCCAGCGGGGACACCCGGGCCCTGCGCAGCGGGGGATCCCTGCCCCACGGAGCAGCGGGACCCCTGCCCCACGGACCACAGGATCTGTGGCCCCGGGAGCAGGGGGGGG